GCGTACTCTCAATGGTAGAGTTTTGGAGGTTTTGTGTTTTTTCTACACATTTGAAATCATCAATCAATCAGTCATTGTTAGACCGCCAATAGAAACCTGAAAGCAGTAGACGACCGTTTTGTCCTGGTATGAGACTACTCATAAGCAGTGCGCATCCACGACTCCTGCAACTCGCAGGATTTGAACCCGGGGCCCGGTATTGTGAGCGAACGCCTAACCATCGGACCACTGGGCCGGCATCCAGTGGTGTTAATGTCTAACTCTGATTGATCTACGGATTTTGCGTGATCTCACCCATTTGTCTTTGGTAGTTACTGCCTACACCCGACAGGGTTGAACTTTATTGGTCATGTCTTCTCAACTAGAACTCCGAGAGTTTCCTCACGAAGCTAGTCACTAGTGAGCACTGTTACGATATTTTCAGGCAGAGATTTGGAGGTTTTTTTCACATACTTGAAATCACCAATCAATCACTGTTAGACCACCATTAGAGAACTGGCAGCACTGGACGACAGTTTCGTTAGGCGTTCGCGCACAATCCTGAGGGGCCCGGGTTCAAATCCCGTGAGGTGCAGGAGTCGCGGATGAACACTGCTGATGAGTCCCATACCATGATTGATTGATGATTTCAAATATTCACTATTAAAATCATGAATCAACCAGTGTTAGACTACCATTAGAAACAGCTGTCCAGTGCTTCCAGATTTCTAAAAGTGGTCTAACGATGATTGACTTATGATTTCAATAATAGTAATAAACAACTTTACAATAAACAATAATAATCCCTGTCTTCATAGAATAATAAGAAGACGGAGTTGATCTGACCATTGGATATTGAATAGTTTAAAAAAAAATAGAAAAGGACACAATCATTAAACGCAACTAGCTCCTATGATCTTTGCACTGACATATCATTCGTTAACAACTAATTCTTTTTATACATGAAAATTTTCAACATTGAAATTTGAACAACTCTGATATTCAGCGCGAAAAAATTTACTTTAGTATATTCCATTGATTTTTTTTGAATAATTCAAATGTAAAATTGTGGTGCGAGCTATTTATAAGTAGTATATGACCTGAGTGTCAACGTAATGTCTGGCAGCAGAAGATGGGGGAAGATCAACAAAAGGAAGAGTGGGAACACAATGGAATTTGTATGAAACGCATGAATAGTGACAATGGATTGATGTTTTGCAACAGGAACAGTCCAGTTTGATATTATGGACTGATATTTTGCAAATGAACGATTTACGATATGTTTTCCCGATTTCACTGAGTAACTCTGTAATTTTCGTTAACTACAATTCGGTTGACCCACCTTTGTTCTCGTTCACTACAAAATTACCGTACAGCATTTATGATACAAATTTTAGTCAGTATTTTCTATATAAAGATCTATTTTTCTGAAAAAACCTTCAACTTACCTGAAACACAGTTAACAAAGCTTTAACAAATGTATCGAAATTTTGTGTTGGTCTTCCTTCATCGAAATTAAAACTAGAAGAATAGAAGAAATAAATTTTGTTTTTAAATCAAAGTTTCACATAGAATAAACCAAATTACGTCCAATCCAACGCATGAATGTGAACACATAATGATAGTTGATTAAAAAGACGATGGACTCAAGGTAAAAAGTAGTGGTAACAAATGCTTCGTCACTCACTCATTGATATTAGCTCAAATAACCATGGCGAATATGAAAGTATTCAAAAGTGTTAAGTTCGTCAATTGATATGCTTGAAACTATTACGAGTTCACCTTAGTCGATAAACGAGAACGAGACAATGACTCAGTGACACGATAGGCTACTCTAATCCGTTGCCCCGTCTAACTAAAGCAGAAGTCTTGATATGGCGTAGAAAGTGTATTCTACAAGCACACAGAAAATATAATGATCTCAAGAAAACTAATCGAGTTTATTTATACATCATAGAAAAGTGCTTGGGAGAGCCACAAAAATAGCATGCTAAAATAAGACATCAACCAATGACAGTGAAGGATTTTCCGAGGTGGGATATGTAATCTCAAGCTCAACTGATCAGAACATGCACGGAAGCATAAAATTCAAAATTAGGACCTTTATCAAGTGAGTTCTGGGGATATAACGTCCCCAACGAAGAGAGATTGTAGTGCCTCCACATATATTTGAATTCGCTTACATTTAAGTTGGTCAAGCCCTTTCGATTAATTTATTTAACCAAGCCATTTGTATAACAATAACTTGTATGTACCATTGGTATTTTTTATTATCTGGTTTGTATGAGCTGGTATGACTGAGCATTGCTCAACGCCTACGCGCATATTCATCCTATTCGCTTTAATATTGATCTCTTAAATATCACGATGACTCAGACATTTGCCTATGTATATATACGAACATTTTATTCTTATTAATTCACTCGCACATTCGCTCGCTAGTGTGCCTGCCCGGTCTGGTTGTGGTCTGCTATCCCTATTTGCGGTGTGCCAAAATAAACTTATTCAACACCTCGCATTCGCCTTCTGATTTACAAACCGTCAGGAGCTATTTAGTAACGATTATCTGGACTAGCAAATTACGTAGATTAAGAACACGTTAAAATTGTCCACCAAAAGATATTATTAGGTTTGAGCTGTATAGCTTTGTGCATATAAAGAACCCCCATAGTATGGAGTTCAAGATCTTTAGGTTTTGAAACGAACATCGCATCCTTTAATCCAACAATCGACATTTCGAATGTCATTTATGACATCTGTCTCTACTTTAAACATGAATAAATTCTATTCGTTGAAATACGTCACTTCATATTTTTGAATTATCGAATAAAAGCAATTTATAAAAATTAATCAATATTATGGACTATGAATCTCATTCTATGTCCGATGTCAAATACAGTTCTTTGAGATGTTATTCAATCAATCTGTCAACTGTCTATGTGATAATTATATTACTTTCCTTTGAGTCATGACAATCTTAAGCGGTAAATTTTTTTTCTGTAAGCGCAATGACTTTTAAACTTCTCAAATACAAAAAAATAAAATACTATGCGAAATTATTTATTGATTGAACATTTTTTAAAATCAAAAACAAAAAAACAAAAAAACTAAACTTACTCTCCACCAAATAATTGCATTCCAAGTAATGCAAATATTAAAATGAACAGAAATAGTAAGAATAATAATGAAATAATACTTCGCATAGAATTCAATAATGAAAGGACCAAATTGCGTAATGATGCCCAATACCTTGATAAAAAAATTATATTGAAAAAAAAAATAATAAAAAATAAAACACAATCCAAAAGTGAATAATAGAGCACATTTTGTAAATCAAAGAAAATTTTGTTATAAACACGTTTTTGTGGGGTTGGTCACTAGGTACACGCTTGAAGCTATTACGAGTTCACCTAAGTCGATAAACCCGAATGAGACAATGAACCAGCGTACAGGTAGGATACCTTGAATCTCAAGCTGAATATAGAAGGCTTTGTAAGCGTAGAAAGTATATTCTACAAACACCCAGCAATCACAGTAAAATCAAGCATACAACTCTCGTTTATTTATACATCATAGAAACATCCTTGGGTCAGTTACGAAAATAGCACACTAAAATACACAGCAGTCAATCGCAGCCAAGGATTTTCCTGGTAGGAAATGAAATCTCTAGGTCAACTGATCAGCCGATGCTGTTAAACGTGAAATCGAAGATAAGGCATTTATGAAGCGAGTTCTGAGGATCTAAGATCCCTAACAATTCTAACAGCAAAAAGAAGATTATTTTCAAAATTAAAGAGTCCAGGGGCTATGATCATCAGTTAAATGAGTTAGACATGTTCAGTAGTGAACATGAATTCCAATAAACATTCATTAACTTGAAGCCAGTATATAGTAATGTTAGTGTTTTGACGATTACGATTTTAAGTTTTCATAGATTTTTTCATGTTTCTTAATTGACTACAAGATGGCTTTTTATCTAACTAGGCGACTTTTGGCTACTTGTTTCACAAGATATACGTTTTCTGGGGATTTAAGTGTTATCAAATCAAATGTACTCATATTTTCGAACCCTAAACTTCTCCATTACTGCTAATCCTTCTACTATCGCTACCGCCATTGGCTTTGAACTGACAATGGCGTGCTAATGAGGTATGGCAACCTGAACTGATGTACGTACATACGAAGTTCTATGTTGAAACTGACTGACTGACTGATTCAAAAAACTACTTTTCTGAAGCAATGAACAGGACATTTTATATGCCTAAGCTTCGACTAGCTTACATGTTCCAAAAATTGGACTTCATCTGCTTAAAAGAAAAGTTTCTTGTCTAGTTCCTGTTATATTCATCAGCCTTAAGAACGAACTACATAGATTGTAGCCAGTTCTCATTGAATTTCATTGTTTTATATCTTTCCTAGTCACTTTTACTTTAACCACTGAAATTATGTTATAAATCAAACCATTTTAAATCTGCTTATTCCCAACCCTTACAACTTCAGCCTTCAAGGTAATTTTCCGTTGAGCCTATTTGTAAACAGTTTGAATAAAAAACCCTCGTCACTTCAAGTATTAAACGATATCATTGAAGACTAAGTAATATCTTGTTGTCTTTACATTCATTCCAAAGATTACATTGGTTTCGCTAAGGTTTATTAAAAAAAATCAACAAGTATGAGCAAATTAAGATAAATTTATAATCTAATATGCCTAAGGATTAATTACACTTTTGCAAACAAAGTCATTTTGCCTCAATACACTGTTTTTAAGATGAAAAAAAGGTATCTATTAAACAGTGCCTATGTGAAAATTACAACAATTCAGATATACACGATCAATATTATTTTCAATTAGATCGTCATCAAGCTTTAATTTTAATTTTCCAGCCACTTTCGAACTATTGAATATAACGTTTGTTATTGTACTTTTTCAATGAGAGTTATGGAGATCCTTATTTTTACACATATAAATTGTCAATCAATCAATGTTAGACCGCTATTAAAAACCTGGAAGCACCGGACAGCTGTTTCATCCAGGTATAGGACTCATCAGAATTGCGCATCCATGACTCCTGATACTCACAGGATTCGAACCAAGGTCTTGCGCTCGAAAGCCTAAACTCTGTTTTTTTCTTATTCTTCCTACCACTGACTTGTACTTGCACTAATCATGTGTAGTTACGTAATCTATTTCATTGTGATTATTGACTCATGAATTGCTTTGATTGGTTTAACATTTTCATATCAATATTCATGGATATTAGAGCAATATACCTGATAACAATCTAATTGAAAACAACATTGTTCGCTTATAATATGTTGTTCTAACTATGTTAATTATCATCATTTTACAGTGTTGCTAAACAAAAATTTCAATAGTTTACAATTAAATAAGAGGCATATAAAAAACGAGTGTATTTTTATGTAAAATTATTTTTAAGCTTTCACAGAAGAGAAATAATTAGTTTTGCTTTTATTCACTTGGAAAGATTATAACGTTGTAAAAATTGTACATTAGCCCATATTCAATAACTTGCTATTTTGACGATGATCATGATGATCAGTGTAATTGTCGTAAAGTCAATTAGAGCTATAAAACTGATTTCAATTTTCTTTATTTTCTATCTACATTTAACGAAGTGTATTTCGAATTCATTTTTAAAAATGGTTATTCCATCATTTAGATATCAGTCAGTTAATTATAACGTAGGACTTCGAACGAACGTACGTACATAAGTTCAGGTTAGCATACCACATTAGCACATAGATGCAATTGTCAATTCAAATCCCATAGTGGTAGAGATAGTAAAAGTATTAGCAATGCTTCTTAGACACCTATGATCGAAGACAAGCAACCTACGAATATTTTAGACACTATATTAGTTAGACTGATTCCTCTGTGATTGTCACAAGAGGACTGTTGTCCTTACTTATAGATTGGGACAATTAGTGATTAAGACCAATCAAATGAGATTATTCTGTGTTCGCAAATTCTACCTAAGATCTCGGTTTGTCTCACAGCTAAAACTGGACCACCATCCTTAAACATCTCAGGAGTCAATCTATCAGGACCCGCTGCTCTACCTCGTTTTCGATTTCTTATCGCCCTTTCAACTTCATAAAGACTCGAAGGACTTATATCGATTTGCCATTCATGTTGACTGAGAACGCTAGCGCTTTAAATCATTTATAACCTCCTCAACTGTGTGTTCATTTTGTTGACCATTATTATTATTATTATTATTATTAATATTAATATTAATATTATTATTATTATTATTATTATTATTATTATTATTATTATTATTATTATTATTATTATTAGGTAAACAATCGTTACTTTTTCATCAAAAAAATAAATAGAGCTAAGTTACACTGAAATAAATACTCAGATCTATTCAATATAAACTAATAACTATAATTACATCGATTTCATTCACACAAATTTAATTGGAAACTTTTGAAAATATTTTGATCATTAAAATGAGTTCACCACAAACATATTCAATCTGATTCAAAGTGTTATTTTTGCTTCTCGCTTTTTTTTCTTCCCATTCGACGATCATCCTTAGGGATTTTTTTTGTGAATTTTTTCTACTTTTGTATTCTGTCAACTATATATAAATATATTTGAATGAATTTATATATTTATTACCTATTCTATTGTTACAATGTACAAAAGAATGATTTATATTTGGCAAAAAAAATAAAAGAAAAACTAACAACTTTTGTTTGCTTTTTCATTTGTGCATTGTAGAAGGTTGTTGAAAATAGAAATTTATTTATTTGTTTGCCCTCACATCGAACAATGTTCAAATGTCAATAAATCTAGAATGAAATGTCCATATTGATTGAACAAGGTGTGTTTTTATTTTATTGACTACTTTTTCATTAGAAAATATTTATAAATCATTTGAAATAATCAATACTCCGAAAAGAGTTGAAAATATTATTATTGGACTGGTTAGACTCAACTCCGATTGAAGCTTCTCTAAGGCTACTGCTGATCTCATGCACGGATAAATGAGGAGGGTTGGGATTGGAGTTGACGATCCTATCCCGTAAAAAATTAACTCACTGAAAATACACTAACCAGAAAAACATAATCCGAACCATTTAAATTCTGTCCTGGGAGTTAGAAGGTCTTCAGTCAGAAGAGTTATGAATTCTCATGATGAAGGCCGAGTTCTTTCGGAAGTCATGAGGCTTATATCCAAGGAACATATTACACCAAGAAATGGAGACAGACATGAGAAGAATGAACAAACATTGGACATAGCTGGAAAGGGATGCCCAGTAGAGAGTAGATTGGAGAATACTGGTCGGTGGCCATTAGGGCTAACTGGAATAAATAAGTTGGACTCAGTTTATGCCTAAGAAACATCAATGTTATCAATCTTGCATCATTCTGAAGATATCAATTTACATTAGTTACTTATACAAGATTTCAGTTCAGTTAAATAAGTACTTGTAAAATTGTTTTCTTTCATTTAGTTTAAAGTTGCGTTAATTTTACTTCTCTAATCATTCTGTATATCACAATTGGGATAAAATCAGTCTACAATATTAATTTTTATGCTCTTATAAAAATTCATTTCTAAGAGCATTGTTCATCTTATTCTTTATTTAACAGAATACCAGTTAGTAGATTATGAATTATCAACCTTACAAAAATATCTTCACATTTTTCATCTAATCTTAACCTACATCATTGACGATATCTGCTATTTATAAACTGTATATACTCTATTTTCAAGTAACTAATACAAATGTGTTCTACAACTTGTATTATTCTACTATAATTAATATATTTTGAATAAATGATTAGTAATAAATGCAACAGAATAATTAATGAATTCGCTTCAACTACTTACAATCAACAACAAAAAAAATGTCGATATTTATTTAGATCCAATTCAGCAAAATTCATTTCATACAAATAAAGAATAATCAAAGTGATAATAACTACAATCAGTAATCATAACCGTAGGACTAATAGAACAGCAATAAACATTAGAGAATCATAAAAAATCTTTAAGATTTTCATTATAGAATAATAAAATTGCTGTGTTTCAATGAGTTCATTATTCGATCACTGTTAGATCATCAGTAGTTACCGGGATGGCCTTTTTTCTAACTAGTATGGGACTCATTTGCACTGCTCATTAATGACCGCCACTAGCAGGAATCGAACGCACGGCTCTTGGTCTCATCCGTGAACGCTTAACGGTTAGACCATTGAGCTTAGGTTCAAAAGTGTTAATCATAGAAATGTGCGCACTGGTGACTAGCTTCATGTAAAACGTTTTGCAGTTCTAATGAGAAGGCGTGACCAGTAGGTATTTACTTATCAAAGAAATTAGGTGAGGTTGTAAATACCTTGGACTTTTCCTAGTTACACATTAACACCGATGGATTTCGGTTCAATGGTGCAGAGGTTAAACGTTCGCGTGAGACACCGAGGGTCCTTGGCCCTAGTCCCACGAGCCGTGGTCGTGGATGAGCTCTACTGATGAATCCCATAATAGGACGAAGTGGCCGTCAATTTCTTTCAGGTTTCTACTGATAGCCTAACAATGACTCATTCATGGTTTCAACAAAAAATCTTTAAGATGTCATGCATTCATATGAGATAACTAACATAGTAAATTGTAGAGGAGATGTTTTTTCACATTTGAAATCATCAATCAATCATTGTTAGATCACCATTAGAAACCTGGAAGCACTGGACGGCCGTTTCGTCCTGGTATGGGACTCATCAGCAGTGCGCATCCACGACTCCCTCCACTCGCAGGATTCGAACCCAGAACCTTCGGCCACCGGGCCGACGTCCAACGGTGTTTTTTCCCTGAAACTTATCTTAATATATATTTTCAAAGAATTCGTTTATTACCGCATTTATTCTAGTCTTTACTAATCTCTTAATTAATACCACACAACTTGTATAGAACAACGGCCTATGCTCCATCGGCGGTAACACGCGCAAGTAAGTAAGTAACTTGTATTAGAATAGATTGAACTAATGATTATCAGTATTATTATAATTTTTTTAGGTTGATTTGTAAACTGTTTAAAGTGAATGAATGCATTAATCAGTTAAATGTATCGATTATTCTGTTGAATATTTTTTTGTTATTCTCAATTATTGTTGTTATTGTTGATATTTGCTATTTGCTATTTAATAGTTTAAAATGTTATCAGCGGGAAAAATTTTTCTCTATCGAATTATTATTGTTATAATCAATAGCATTGTTGCCGTTGTAAATCTATTGATATTGAAATGAAATTTTGTTTTATCCAAACTGAGCGATAAATTTTTTTGCTACTGAACACATACAATTAGAACAAACATTGCAGCTGAATAAAATTTACAAATGAATTCAATTTTTTTTTCATTTTTTCAGAGATTCTTATCGCTTGATTACACAACCGAATAATAACTCAGTAAAGTTTTTAAACAAACATAAATTTAAAAAAACAAACAAACAAATAAATCTTCAAGCTTTTGAAGTTTACTTTAAGCTATTATTTGCTAATAGTGTTAGAAATCGGTATTTAATTTGGTTAATTTTATTCTTTGATCTATGTTAGAGATATTCATTAAATTTCTGCTAAGAGAATTATTTTCGGAAGTCTAATTCTATTGGTCAATTTCCTACTGATTAGTATTATGATCGTTCTAACTATTCATGTCACAGACTTCAATGTTGGTTCCTGTTCGACCTAACTGTATAAATATGGATTATCTGTAATGTTTTATGACCTGGATTCTCTCCTGGACCCGGACCTCGTATTTTCTGGATGTTTGTAGAATACAGGTTCTACTTCATATCAAGCCATCTTGTTTTACTCAATGGGGGCTTGGGACGCTCACATTAGAGTAGCATTTCGTGTTGCTAGATCCTCGAACCTGGCTCTCGTTTTCTGACTAAGGTAAACTTATACTAGTTCAAGCATACCAAAATGATGTGTTTACGTGCATGCGTAACAATCTAGAAGTATGAATGATGGTAATAATTTCACTAAATTCATTGTTAATTGTTTTCACCTTTTTAATGAATTCATTGTTAAATCATTTTTATCACTGTGTTTAATAATTTTATTGTTTTTTTTTAACCAACTAAACTTTACCCTGATCCGTTGGTCAGACGTAATCAAGGATAATCTACTGCGAAAGAGGAAAGATTAGATTTCAGCAAAGTAAGAAGTTAGGATAAAGAGCTGTGTAGGTGAACAGGACATACATATCAGAAAGCACTCAACTACGACACAGGATAAGTCTTTATTTGGAATACCTAAAGTCGAAGGATAAGAGGACAACTTAATTATACATTACACTGGGTATCGGAGACAGACATGAAAAGAACGAAAAGCAGTTGGGTGGAACTGGAAAAGAAAGTCCAGGATAGAATAGGTTGGAGAATGCTGGTCGGCAGCCTATATGCTCAACTGGGAATAATAGGCTTAAGAAGAATAAGAATATTTACTCATTTTACTTGCCATTAATCTTCAGGTTGCGAATAACTTCTAACCTTTTGGTTACCCCTTTAATTATCAAAGCTCTAGGTTGCTCGTTTTACACGTAATCGTGTGCAATGGCGCAGGTGTGTTCCCTTAAATTCCTCATCAACCCTGTATTTCTCCTTTTTAATTTTTTCGAACTGGATTATACTTCTTGAATAATAATTTCTTTGAACCCAAATGTTTTTCATTACCGCTAATACTTCTACTATCTCTACCACTATATGATTTGAACTGACAACTGTGTCTCTGTGCTAATGTGGTGTGGCAACCTAAACTTATGCACCTACGTACGAAGTTCTAAGTTGTAACTGACTGACTGATCATCTAAATTGATTTTCAACTTACTGTATTAAAAATTTTGAGTTGCATAATCAGTTTGTAAGAATCTAACAAATTGAAAAAATCCTAAATCGACTAAAGTTAGACAATAACACTGTTGGACGCCAGCATAGTGTTCTGGAGTTTAAGTGTAAGATTGAAGGTCCTAGGTTCGATTCCTGCGAAAAGGGGGTCATGAATGCGTACTGCTGATGATGATAGTAAGAAATAGCCGTCGAATGCTTCCATGTCTGTAATGGTGGTCTAACAATTCGATCGATTCACTATTTCAATGTAAAATGATTCCATGTTAATCTGTCTAAATCTTTGCTTTTACACTATTAAAGATGACAAGCAGAACTGTTTATATAAAAGAAATATAATACTTGTTTCGGAGTTGCTTACCTGGTTACTTTGAAAATTCGTAAAAGTCTCAGTGCACGTAAGACACTGATACCAAATGACGCATCCGGATGAAAGAATCCCCAAATTATTTCAAATAGACTTCCTATAATAACCTGGAAAAAAAAATAGGGTAATAATCATAAACATTATTTAGGAAAAAAAACAGAAACCTGAATAATAATTTTTGACAATCATTTAAACTGATACTATTAAGTTAAAACTAGCCTAAGATTTATACATAGTACGGCATCGAATGGAATATATGAGATTTATCGAACATATTCCTTGAAAACCTTTCTCTGAAGGTCAGTGAAATGTTCACAAGAAATGAAAACCAAACACTTAGTGAATTGTAGGCAAACAGTATACATGGTGATTGTGTTCTATCCATTCAATTAGCAAGAAACAAGATTTGATGAGCTTTGCAAAGGTCAGCATAATCACATACTTCAGAACTGACTTATGTATAAAAAAAGTTCAATAGATTAGTTTTTATTATTATCAAGTTTGTTTTAATTAAGTCTCATGGATAACACTATCAATAAGCAGTATCGATCATATTCTACGCGTCAACCTTTAATAAGTCTACCAATCTCTATAAAGTCAGTCTTACATTGGGTGAATTGTAGGAAATCGATAGAAGATTTCGGTTTTCAGTTAGGCATTAGTTTTTATTCAACATCCAAAACTTAACTGAAATAGTGAAAGGCCATCTACTGTCTATGAGTCACGAACCCGTTACAAAGTTGCGAGCTAATTTTAGGAAAAATGACTAACTTTTATTGAGATGTTTCCATAATTATCACTGCAACATTATCTCACTTAGGCAAAAATTAAGAACTGAAAAATACTGGACAGCTGCGTCGTTCTAGTATAGGATTTCTCGTCAAATGTATCTATAACTACACCAGGATTCAAACTCAGGATCCTCAGTTCTCTTAACACGTACATAAACTTTTAGACCATTGATCCGGCATTTAATAGTTGATATTCCTAACTTCAATCAACTAGCGATATTTAGTAACGGTCTTTCCATAACATTGGTGAATATGGAGGTTTGTAGAAATCATAGTGTTACATAGTGTAACCTTATTGAATTGAAAACTAATCAATGTTACATTCATTGTAATCTATAATTCTGAATCAATCTCATCGATTAAATTACATTACATTACAGCGACACTTCTACTCATTTTATATAATATTCAGAATACTGAATTTGACGCATACTTATCAAATTATCAACATTTCCTTTCTATCTCTCTGAGAGTATTTGATCATTGAAAGTGTAACCATTACAAGGTTCATGAAAATTTCATTGTGTATTGAATAAACTTTTAATCGATGTGTACATTTTTAAAATTTTCAATAAATTAAATAAAAAAGCTAATATTCTACAGCTTAACTATTCACATCAAAATAAATAAATTAGATCTTTCAATTTCAAGAGACCAAAACAAAACAAACATTTCTCTCTTTCTATGTACACAAATTTTTTTCCACATCTTATTACTAGAGTTTGGTTGTTTGTTTGTAAAATAAAATTGTCCTTTTATACAAATCTATCTTTAGGGAAAAAAGAAAAGAATATTTTCATTATCTGTGATTGACAGACAACAATGAGTTGTAGAACACATAGGATTTATGTATACATATATGTGAACAGCTTGTTTTCATTATGAACTGTTTTATAGTAAATGTTAAATTCTTCTCAGGTTTTCATTTAAATTGAAGACTTAATCAAGTATCATATCTTGTTATTTTAGAGATAGTTGTGTGCAAATGAAAGTTAGTTTTTTTTCAACACTCACAAACATTGCTAAGTGAATTGTTTAAGACAATGTTCTACAAACTAAATTGATCTATATGACAGATTTGAAGTACTGGTTTGCTACTAGTTTTGTCTCAAATATAGGCGCTTGTAATGCCTTCACATTTATTTGCGTTCCCTTACATTTAATTTGGTTGAGCCTTTCAATTAATTTATTTATCCAGGTCATTTGTATAACAATAACTTATATGTAAAATTGGCTTTTATTATTGTGTGGTTTGTATGAGCTGGTATGACAGAACATTGTTTACTCCTACGCGAATATTCATCCTATTCGCTTTAATATTAATCTTTTAAATATCACGATGACTCAGATATTGCTCTTTGTATATATACGAACATTTTAATCTCATTCATTCATTCGCACATTCGCTCGCTAGTGTTCCTACCCGGTCTACTTGTGGTCTACTATCCTATTTTCCTGGTGTGCCAAAAATGAACGTATTCAACACCTCGAGTTCACCTTCTGATTTATAAACCGTCAGACGCTAATTACGAAGCTTAAGAACACCTCGAAATCGGTCACCATACGCTAATTAACAAACCTAAAGTTCATGGGTTAAATCCTCTACAATAATAATGTTGTAGTTGAGTAACTTTTCGGTGTTTCTAAAACCAATTATACAAATACTTATCTGGGGAGAAAAAAATACTCATCATGTTATTTTTGTTCTTTGGCATAAACGTAAATATTTAAGCCAACAGTTTTAGGACTTTTAGAAAGTTGATCTACATAGTTCGACACTCCTAATATCCTCATACAAATCCATGTTGACATTAAGTGATATTTTGTTTTTATGCTCATCACTAGGTATGCTTGAAACTATTACGGGTTCACTTTAGTCGATAAACGAGAACGAGACAATGAACCAGCGTCAAGGTAGGCTACTCTGATCCGTTTGCCAAACAAAACTAACGAAAAGTCTTGATATAGCGTAGAAAATGATTCTACAAACACACAACAAGCACACAAATCGCGTTTATCTATAAACCATAGAGATGTCCTTGGGAGAGTCACAAAAATAACACGCTAAAATAACACAGTAACCAATCACAGCCAACCCTTGTGGGAAATGCAATCTCAAGGTCAACTGATCAGCCCATGAATAAAATCCAAAATAAAGACATTTATCAAGCGAGTTCTGGGTATCTAAACATCCTCAACAATTCTCTTCACAACTCCATTGTAATTCTAATCCACGTATTCATACAATATATTAAGATTAATCAAATAATCACACTATAACAAGTGAAAATTCAAGCACAATCGAAAATGATTATTGATCAATGAAAAACTAAAACAAAACACATTTGCAAATTAACAAATTCACTTACCACACAGTCAAAGATATTAAACGAAGATTCAAAGTAGATTCGTACATTTAAACCATATACTTTTAATAACATTTCAGTAATAAATAAACCAAGAAAGACAAATTCTGCATAATCTGTAAATATAGATAACATTGAAAAAAAAGAATATTGAATGTTTGAACGTAGATTTTGTTTCTAGTTGAAATCAAATAGAAAATCTCTGAAATCCAGTGAGACTTAGATCGGTGTATCGATTAGCAGTAGAATTAACGAATGGACAGGAAGTTAAATCTAGGGAATGGTCTTACAATTTAGTATGATACTTGTGAATCAATGAGATACTTAATTAACTTACTGAATAAGGCGATAAGCAACCGTTTCAATCGATCATTTTCGCGCTATTTAACTTCATTAATCATAGTTTACCATATGAAGATCGATGAATTCATTTGTAAGTCATGTGTATAGATTGAAAGATAATTTTCATGACGAAATAAGATTACTTACTAATGCGAAATAGATTGATATTAAAAAATTTGAACCTTTAAACTTAAAATTCAACAGTCTTAAAGTGTCATGTAAAATCCGAACATCGCGGACTCAATTGCGTAAGTGGATGTTGATGATCATGATTAATGAAACTTACTCTAGGAAAAAAATATTGTCTAGCATTTCTTTAGTTTCGATTAGCTTTTACATAGGACAGCTAGGACTCAGCTGGACGATCTGGACTTCGCAGATGACCTGGCTCTTCTATCGCACACTCAACAGCAAATGCAAAAGAAGACGAGCAGTGTAGCAGCAGCCTCTGCAGCAGTAAGTCTCAACATACATAAAGGAAAAGGAAAAATTCTCCGATGCAACACAACATGCACCAAAAAAATCACTTTTGAAGGAGATGCCTTAGAGGATGTAAAAACCTTTACATATCTGGGCAGCATAATCGACAACCAAGGTGGATCCGATGCAGATGTGAGGGCGCGGATTGGCAAAGCAAGGGCTGCATTTCTACAGTTGAAAAATATCTGGAACTCCAAACAACTTTCAAACAAAACCAAAATCAGGATTTTCAATACAAATGTGAAGACAGTTCTACTGTATGGAGCGAAAACATGGAGAACTACCAAAGCCATCATCCAGAAGATACAAGTCTTTATTAACAGTTGTCTACGCAAAATACTTCGTATTCTTTGGCCAGACACCATCAGCAACAAAGTACTGTGGGAGAGAACAAACCAGATTCCAAAGGAGGAGGAAATGGGGAAGAAGCGGTGGAAGTCGATAGGACACACATTACGAAAAGCAAAAAACTGCGTCACATGACAAGTCGTCACTTGGAACCCTCAAGATAAAAGGAAAAGAGGGAGACCAAAGAATACATTACGCCGAGAAATAGAGAAAGATATGAAAGGAATGAACAAACATTGGAAAGAACTGGAGAGGGAAGCCCAGGACAGAGTTGGTTGGAGAAAACTGGTGGGCGGCCTATGATGCTCCATTTGGGGTAACAGTCGTAAGTAAGTAAGTAAGTAATTATAACAAAAAATAACTACAAATTTCTAAACTCCTCACCAGAAAACATTAGAGTCAACTTCTGTATATATATATATATATATATATATATATATATATATATATATATATATATCAACTAATTTTTTGACTCATAGTTTCTGAATTAAATTACGTTTCGAAGAACTAAGTTTCTTCAGTGATTTGTAAACAAAATGAAATATGACAATAGCTACTATAGTTTGAGTGTTACCAAACAAATTTCATAATCGTACTACAAGTTTCCCATGTAATTCTGACACTTTATTTAAATCAACTAGTCCAGTTAACGAATTATCAATGATAGTTATTTTTTTTAGCATCAGATAATTTAAAATTCAATAATTATATCCATGTTATAAAATTTTCTTAATACTTACATGATAGATCAGTTAGTTCAGTAGATTAATTTAAAAAATTAAGTAACTAGACAGTGAATTCATATATGAAACTGGTACCTTCATCTTAAACTAATTTCTTTTAGTAGACAGAACTAAGAGCTCAGTTTTGATGAACTTGTTCATTATTTCTGCAGAAAATTCACAGATATTTTATAAGAATTAGGTTGTTTGTCAGTTAAGAAATAATCAATCAAGTTAGAGAAAACTAAAGATCACAATAATCAATCATTGATTATTGATGTACAGTTGTCTGTGCAAAATACTACGAATCCGTTGGTCAGACATCATCAGTTACAATCTACTGTAAGACAGAACAAACAAGATTCCTGAAGAGGAAGAAATTAGAAAAATGCACTGGGAACGGATAGGGCAAACGTTACTGAAAGCACCTGTGTCAGAACACAAGACCTAACTCAAAATCCTCAAGGTCAAAGGAAAACAAGAAAACAAAAGAACACATCACTACGAGAATCGTATACGGACATGAAAAAAATGACTAGTAATAGTGTAGAACTGGAAAGCAAGGCCTAGGACGGAGTAGGTTGGAGAACGCTTTTTGGCAGCCTTTGTTCTATTAGGGGAAACAGCAGGTGCAAGTAAGTAAGTAAGTAAGTTATGAGAATTCCTCCTACACATAACTCAATCTAAAACTGTTGAATGCTTTGAATTTTTTTCAAGATGACAAGCAGTATTCTATTCATCCGTCAATTCAAAGTTGAAGACAGTCAATAAAATAAACTAATAGATTCATCGAGTGATCGTCCAAAGCTGTTAAGTTTGCTAGTAGAAAGGCTAATACACAACACAACCTTGTTGGGGGTGTTAGATCCCCAGAACTCGCTTGATACCTTGGATTTCACGTTTGCGAGCATGGGCTGATCTGTTGACTTCGAGATTTCACTTCCCATCAGGAAAATCCTTGGCTGTGATTGGCTGCTATGTATTTTAGTGTGCTATTTTCGTAACTGTCCCAAAGACGTTTCTATGATGTATAAATAAACGAGAGTTGTGTGCTTAATTGTATTGTGCTGGCTGGTTGTTGTTGTAGAATACACTTTCTACGCTTATCAAGACTTCTGTTTTGCCGTTTTCAGATCAAGGTAGCCTACCTGGAAGCTGGTAATTGTCTCGTTTGCGTTTATCGACTAAGGTAAACTCGTAATTGCTTCAAGCGTACCTAGTGACGAACATAACAAACCTTCGACATTAGGACTCGTAGAACTGCCCTCGACGTTACAAATAAAAAACTGTAAGTGTCAAAACGTATTTATGCTTTTTCGTACAGAGTGTAAACGTCATTAAACATGATTTCATCCACAATTAGTGCTGTTACGTCATCATCCGATCTTTTTATGACACATCGACGTTCTGAGAATTCTATCAAACCATGTGTGATTAGATGAGCGATTGGAGGCTTCAAAGAGCTATCCCAACAAAAACCCTTACAGAATAGAAGAACATTAAATTAACAAAGAAATCCTGTAAATAGGTTTCTAACACTTTATGCAGAGAGAGTTTCATTACACTAACACACTGATAAAATCTAACTTTGAAAACGATTCAGTCAGTTGAAACGATCAAATTTAAATTGACATTAAAAATATATATATATTCACCTCCATTTGTTAATGAAACTATTAAATTCTAACTAGTTTATACTTTATGGTTAGTGCTTTTAATATAATACGAAAAAAAAATATTCCAAATAAATCAAGAAAATATATAAAAATAATTTCAATTTTTTTTTCTGTCATCATAACCTTGACCTATATTCTGTCTAATTTTCTGTTATCAAATACATATAAAATGAAATCCAGGTTTGTTCAGTCAATCAACAAGTTCTGGTGAATGAGGAGAATTCAACAACAACAACAAAAAAGAAGCCGTCTGTTTTTGTTTTATCCTGGTAAAAACTTTGTAGAACACACAAACCTGGTAGTTAAAATATCATATATATATGTATATATATATATATATATATATATATATATATATATATATATATATATATATATGTACTGTTTACATACCTACAGAGTAATAAAAATTTATTTTATTAGGACAGATTATTTGGTTGAGAAAAAAACAAAATTCAATTAAATTAGTTTGAAGTAGTATACCAACCAATTAAAAAAAAGAAGATAAAATAAAATGAAAAATTTAATTTTATAATGAAAAGGGTAAAATTTTTTGTTTTCGCACATAAATAATATATATATATATATTGACATTCAAAGTTCAATGATTTGTTTAACTAAGAATCGAAGTTACATATATGTATATATATATTTCCCATTTGGGAAATGGCAATTTTATTACGCAATATATAAATGAGCAAAAATGAGTAAAAACTGCATTCATCAGAGTTGGTATTTTTTTTTTTAAAAAAAAAGAGACGGATTTATGTATTTATTTTCAATCATATGATCAATCTTATTATTATATTCTTCAAATTGAGAGTAATGCTCAATTACATCCAATCTATCCATTGTGAATATAAACATACTATATTGTGTACTGTTGTGTATATAAAATAAAGATTTTCTATGAATATTCAGTTCTTGTCTTTTTATTTTAACTAACGACATAAAAAGTGAATGATTGGAATAGTGGTTTTGACAGAAATTTTGTGTTTAAAACAGAAAAACCTAGGAAAATGTCTCATGAAATCAAATATTCCGCAAAAAAAAAACACTTCATCGTGTTCGAAAAAAAATATCAATGTATATTTTTTTTCTCACAAGTAAGATTCTTTGTAAGAATAAGGTAGGTTACATCTAGTGGCTTATTTCCAAATAGTTTAGTCTACAGTTGACTATAATTCATTGTTCGATACAAATTAAAATAAGACATTGTACTCTCCGCCAACGTATATGAAACATCTAATGATGATATAAGACTGATTTTTCTGTTACTGTTAACAAATAAACAGATAATTCTCAATTACACATTTGACTGGACGGCCGTTTCGTCGTGGTATGGAACTCATCAGCAGTGCGGATCCTGCACTCGAAGGATTTGAACCCAAGACCTTCGGTCTTGCGCACGAACACCTAACCTCTGAACCACTGAGCAGGTACCCAACGGTGTTAATGTCTAACTACAATCAATTCACTTCTTAATTAAAATGGAAAATGCAAATCATTTTTGCTAAGTTTAAAATTAGTTGATAAACAGTCGGCATGTAGCCACTGGCAACTA